TTTGATTTCGTATTGCAGAAAATAGAGTTCTTTGTCCCAGGTGAGTTGTCAGAGCAACCAGAATGGGGAAGAAGATGGTGAGAGCAAGTAGGTCAAGCACTACTCTAGTAGTTAAGAGTTGAGAGGTCAGTCTCTTTGGGGCAATAAAATTAGGGCTGATTAATTGGCCTACTTCTTGGTTACTGAGCCAGTGTGTCATGACAAAAAAGGAAGAGTATAAATCCTTCATGAATTTTATGCTTATATTGTATGATTTTTTTATAGGACTGTTGATTTATTCATGCAATATTCAGCATACTTAAAATCCTTCTATATGCCAAGCACTGTGCTAGGCTACAAAATACAAAGAGGAAGGGACACAATTGTCTTCTTCAGGGAGCGCTCACCATTAACAGGAGAGAAAAACATGTGAAAATAATTACCGGACTATATGAGTGATAGAGTTAACTCAGGGTTTAGAGAATGTATAAAGCAAAGGATGATTACTTCTGTCTCAGTTACAGTATTAGAGAAAACTTTACAGAGGAGAACTTGAGCTAGCTCCTGAAAGTTGAGTCAAGTTTGCCTGGAGAACAGGAATATTCTATTCTAGGCTGAGAGAACAGCTTGCAGAGACAGAATGAGACAACGTGACACACTGGGGAATACTTGGAAAGCAAAGGGAAGAAAGGAGGTTAGGAAATAAAAGATAGAGGTTATCTCATGAAGGGCTTTCAAAACCTATTCCTTCTTTGGTTCACCAACCAGTTATGAGATAATGTGATAGACTTACTGTTTACAGGGATCGGGAGAGAGTGAAACAAAAGGCATGAAGCTGAATGAGCACTCTGTTGAGTAATCCAGTTGAGAAATGGTATAGCTGTAGAGTGCAGCAGAAGAGGATGGATCACAGAAGTAGAACCAGTAGGATTGCTAATCAGTTGGCTATGGAGCGCAAGGATGTGGGATTTGAGTCTCCAAGTTTTTTTGTTTGTTTTTGTTTTGGTGTTTGTAGGGGCAGTGATGGCATTCCCCCAAATAGGGATTATAAGAGGAACTGAACATTGCAGCCCAGATTGGGCTATATAATCAGTCTATTTTTAGATACATTGATTTTGTGGGGCATTGAAGAGCTAGAGAAATTTGTGAATTGTAAACTTACAAGTAGACATGGCAGTTGAATTTGGTGAAATAGTATGTGCAGAATGAGAGGAAAGGAGAACTAGGAAGGGTTCCTTTTTCTTATGAAGAATCCTAGCATTTAGGGTTTAACAAAGGAAGAAGAATGTGTAAAGGTAACTGAGACGGAACTGAGGGAGAACCAGGAATGAGTAGTACCAAAAGTTCAGGAGAAGAGAGAGAAAAGATGAGACTTAAAAATATATATTTATATTTTTTGTGGAGAGGTAGTTTTATGTAGAGACCTGATGTTTGTAATGCCATAATTTCTAATTTTAATTGTAATACTTCAAGTTTATAAATATTAAATTTATTATTTGGAATTTATTCTTGCAAACCATGTGTGTATATACATATATATAAGCACAACTATCTATACACTACATATATATGCGATTACTGTAACTATTATTGCTATATAACAGGCCAGAAAGGTGGCATTATTCCCATTTTACAGATAATAAAACTAAGGTCTTTTGTCCAAGGACACATGATCAATACAGAACTTGGATTCAAGCCTAGGACTTCCTGATTCCTAGTAGACAATGGTGCCTCCTATACATGTGTTAAAATCATAGCATACCTCTAAATAAATTTAATGGTGTTTCTCATTTCCAAAACTCTTTTATAAATGTGGGTCTAACTTTAGAACTTAAAACATGTTGTTCCAGAAAAGAAGTTATCTATTTTTTTTTTGCTGTTGTTTTTCAAGATTTTAATAATATAATTTCTTGATATAATTATTTCTCAGTTTTTAAAATATCATACAAATGGTTGGAATTTAAAATAGTTTCCCATTGGGGTGCCTGGCTTTCTCAGTTGGACGAGCATGCAGCTCTTGATCTTGGGGTTGTGAGTTTGAGCCCCACATGGGGTGTAGAGATTACTTAAATAAAACTTAAAAATGTTTTCCCATTAGTTTCAGTTTTTAACTTTTCGATTATGAACATAGGTTCTCCTTAGTCTACTACTGTCATTATTTGTTTTGGTTAAGAGATCTTTTTGCTGCTAAATGAGAGTTTATTACTGATAGCCCTCAGACTAAATTTTGAAGAATACAATGAATAGTAAAAGGTGTTGATTATTATTTGGCCAATTCTCTATTTCCTACTGAAGTTATTTGCAGTTTCTAGCATTGTTTTTCAAAGGTAGATGTACCTTATTTGTAGTCTTCAGCTCTAAAATCAATACCAAAGACACTTGTTATATATTATATTAATAGCTTTAGAAGATACATCAGGGTTACAATATCAGTTTTTCATAGGAATGGAAAGGGGTATATTTGTGTTAGAGAAGGAATATTGCACTTTTCTTTTAATTGTAAAAGCCCTAGGGAGAACTAGAGTGGTAGAAATAACAAGGAATTGCAAATCTTGAATTCTTTTCTTAGCTTTTCCATTGGTATTAGGGTGATCTGGCAAGGTTCTTCCTTTCTCTAGGCCTATTTCCTCATTTGTAGAAATGAGGAAATAGAAGAGATAAAAAAGTTTCCTTCAACATTTGTTTCTTTAATTATGTTAGAGGTTAGGAAAATAGATGGATTGTAGCATTTTTCTATGCTACCATGGTTTCAATGCAAAACAAGTTAGTAGAATTGCAACTCCTATGCTTTTGATTAAATCAGATAAACTGATAATTGACTCTCGTATTGAAAGAAAGTATCAAGAACAGCTTTTAAAAAAATTTTTTAATTTAAATTGAATTAGCCAGTGTATAGTAGTACATACTTAGTTTCCGATGTAGTTAAAAACAACTCTTTAATTCAGTTAACACCTATATAAAAAATGTAACACTCTCCACCTAGCAATTTGAGTTAAATATTTTCCTGCTAGGGAAATTTATGTTGTATTTTTTTAAAAACACTTTTAGGTTTTAGATACTTCAATTATACATTATGTACTTGGCAGAAATAATCTCTTATGTAAAATTAAATTGAAATAAAATGACCAGTATATCGTTCATCATTTTATTTCTCTGCTGAAAACATCCCTGTTGTCAGTGTTATTAGTTGAACAAGTTTACTGGAAAAACTGGAAGTTTGGGAAACTTAACTGGTCTCAAAACTGGGGATAACAAAGTAGAATTTTTGTGAAAAGTAATTGAGATAATCTATGTTAAATGATTTCAAAATAGCGCCTGGCATGTAACAAATAACTCAGCTAATCTGGGTATTAATAGGATGAAGAAATTTTAAGAGAGGATTTGTACTATAGGTTGACCTATAAACATGAGACGAAGCAGGTTGAGGTATTTACCTTCTGTTTGTTATAGAGAGATCAAGATGAAACTTACAGGTATATATAGAGTGTTAAGATTCAGTTCCCTTTCCCACCTCCCATTTCCTCTACCTGCCACACAGAGTGGAACATTTACTTTGTTCATCTTATAGCTCTCATAATGCCTTACAATAGCTTCCCCAAACCAAACTACTACTATTACCTTTACTATTACTACACCCCCTCACAAGAATCATATTGACAGATCATAAATTAATCTAAAATATAGTTGGTTTCTAAGTTGGTTGCTCAGAAACAAAATCTTGTTTTCTTTTGATTTTAATTTAGAGAATAAGTGACAACAAAATGCTTGTGTTATTTGGCTTTTTTTCTTTTTCTTTTTTAAAAAGATTTTATTTATTTACTGGGGAGAGAGACACAGAGTTAATGAGAGAGGGCAGGAGCAGGGAGGATAGGGAAAAGCAGGCTACCCTTTGAGCAGGGATCCTGATGTGGGTCTTGATCCCAGGACTCTGGGATCATGACCTGAGCCTCAGGCAGTCGCTTAACCAACTGAGCCACCCATTTGCCCTCTGTCTGTTTTGGTTTTGTTTTTGTTTTTTTAAGAATTTATTTATTTGACAGACAGAGATCACAGGTAGACAGAGGTAGGTGGGGGGAGGGGCGAGGAGCAGGCTCCCTGCTAAGCAGAGAGCCCAATGCAGGGCTGGATCCCAGGAGATCATGACCTGAGCCGAAGGCAGAGGCTTAACCCACTGGGCCTCCCAGGCGCACCCCCCTGTCTGGTTTTAAGAATTAATTTTAGTCATATGTCAGAAAGTATTATCTGATTTTCTAAAAAATTACTTTTGTGTCACGTATGTTTTTGAGAATTTGTGGCAGAATAATCTAATCCATTCCTTGTCATTTTTACTCCCCAAAAGAATTTGTGGTATGAAAGCAAAATTTAGGATTTTCTTATGAATGATTTTAAAATTTTAAAGAAAAACCTTTTTTCCCCAAATGTCATGAGCAGATTTTTTTGAGAGCTAAGACTTGTAGATTATTAGTATGGTTTAGACAGAAGAAATGAAAATAGCTGGAGTAGCTATGCTAAGTAATAACGTTCTTTCAGTTTTTTCTTCATTAGAATCAAAAGATAATGAAGTCACAACTCAGTCTAAAGAGGACTTAGGGGAAAATACTATGTAAAGAATTTCATCTAACAGCAATTTATGTGGATGTCATTGTCAGTATTACTCAGATTAGCGTATTGATAATAGTAAATCTTTGTTAGGGACAGCCATAAGTGTGAGAAGTACCATTGGTCAAGTCTGATGCATAAAGCCAAGGAAAAGTAGGTCTGACAGGAGATAAGGAGAATGAACCATTCCAGTATTGAGACTGAGCATAAGGATAGTCCAGATTCTAGTGGTAATTTTTTGCATAAATATTTCAGAGTTTACCTTAAAAGAGAGTGTGAAGTAGTTGATACTTAAACTTGGTGAATTATAATTATGAAGATGGGAAATATTTCCACATGAATTAGCTAGAAATTTTGTATGAATTTTGTCCTGGAAGAATTGTGTGAACGTTCTAATTAAACCTTTTCTTCAATTTATTTAGATCAGCTGTTCCATGTATTAGCCTTGCACATGCGGCTTTATAGCATTGATTCTGAGTATAATCCCTGGAGAAAGCTTACGCAATTAGTAGAAGAGGAGAATTCACAGTAAGTATTATTGGGAGATTAAAGTCAATTAAAACTGTTTTTGAGAAATGTTACATACTGAAATAGAATTAAAATTCTTTATGAATGTGTGAATTTTCCTTTTTAAACATACAAATACATAAAAAATAAAAAAGTTTAACTTTATACTTTCTGTAAAAATTGTATAAAAATTCATAACAAGTTAGAAAATGTCTTAAAGAATCCATTAATTTCTAAGCAGTTAAAACGTTTGAATGGAGGTACACAATGACTTATTGCCCCTCTTTTTATGTCAGAATTGATTAGTGGGTTCAGGTAGCCTTAGTTTGATCCCTTTATTGTTCTCCATCAGCCTTACACCCAAGTGATTTTTGTAACCCCTGATTATTGTTGTTTAGGGATGTGGGGAGGAGGGTCAGAGAGAGAGGTGGGGAGAAGTGGACTCTCTGGTGAGCAGAGAGCCCAATGCGGTGCTCCATCCCAGGATCATGACCTGAGCCAAAAGCAGATGCTGAACCAACTGAGCCACCCAGGCGCCCCATCCCTGATGATTCTTGCCTAAATCTAGTATTCCCTTAGATGATTCAAAAGAGTGGTTTTGTAAAAATAAAACAAAAACAAAAAACCTCCCTTCTGATTTATTAGCTAGGAATGATTTTTTAATAAAGGAAAGCTTTCTGATATCATCTATTTGGTTACCCTGAAATATAGTTTGGCAGGATGATTGCTTGATATTTCCCAGTTCATAAGTTTTCAAAGAAGGGACTTGATGCCCTAGCAGGTTCCAGTGGTGACCAATAAGTTGTGGTTATTTATTTGATCTCATAATTTTAATATATTTGATGTGTTCACTCCATTCAGCCATTCTTTTTGGTGTAAATTGTCCCATTTTATTTTATTTTTAATTTTAATTGAAGTATAATTGACATACCATATCCTATTAGTTTTATGTGCACATCATAGAAATTCAGTGTTTTTGTGTGTTGCAAAATGATCTTGATAAGTCTAGTCACCATACAAAGTCATTACAATATTACAGACTATAGTCCCTATGCTGTATATTACATCCCCATGGCTTATTTTATAATTGGAAGTTTGTACCTCTTGATCCCCTTCACCTGTTCCACCCATCCCCAATTCCGCTCCACTCTGGTAACCACCAGTTTGTTTCCTGTATGTATGAGTTTCTTTCTGTTTTGCTTTGTCTGCTTGGTTGTTTTGTTTTTTAGATTCCACATGTAAGAGTGAGATCATACAGGATTTGTCCATCACTTAATTTCACTAAGCATAATACCCTCTGGGTCCATCCATGTTGTCACAAATGGCATGATTTTATTCTTTTTTATGGCTGAGTAATGTTCTAGTGTGTGTATATATGACACACATATTTATACATCACATCTTTATTCATCCATTGATGGACACTTGGGTTGCTTCCATATCTCGGCTATTATAAATAATGCTGCAGTAAACATAGGGGTATGTATATCTATTCCCTAGTGCTGGCAAGAATGTGGAGAAAGGGGAACACTCATACAGTGTTAGTGGAAATGTAAATCGGTGCAGCTGCTATGGAAGTTTCTTAGAAAACTAGAAATAGAATTACTACCACACAATCCACAAATTCTGCTTCTGGGTATTTACCCAAAGAAAGTGAAGACACCAATTTGAAGAGAGATATATTGTTCTCTTTTAGGTTAGTAAGAATCCCTTTAAAATTGCTGTTGAACTTCGAAATGATCCAAGCAGTCTTTGATAATATCCTTACTTTCTGGCACAATAAGTTAACCTAGGCTTATTTTGTACATTTTACACTCTCTACGTGGTATCAGCCATTTCTTTGAGTAGTTCCTTTTATTGGGAAATGGTATTTAGAGATCATAATCTTGGTGCTAAGGGGTATATATAGCTATTATGTTATCACAATAATTTATAGGCTTATAGGCCATTCCAGTGGCAGTAAGGAAGTCTGTTTTGTTTTTTTTTTTAAAGATTTTATTTATTTACTTGACAGAGATCACAAGTGGGGAGAGAGGCAGGTGGGTGGGGGGGGGGGCGGGGAAACTGAACAGGGGAAACTCTCTGCTGAGCAGAGAGCCTGATGGGGGCTCAGTCCCAGGACTCCGAGATCATGACCTGAGCTGAAGGCAGAGGCTTTAACCCACTGAGCCACGCAGGCACCCCAGAAGTCTTTTAAAGAAGATTTATTTATTTTAGAGAAAGAGAGCGGACAAGCAGGGGGAGGATGGAGGGGGAAAGAGAGGGACAGGCAGACTTTGCACTGAGTGTGGAGCTTGATGTGGGGCTTGATCTTAGGACCCTGAGATAATGATCTGAGCGGAAATCAAGAATTGGTCACTTAGGGGCGCCTGGTTGGCTCAGTGGGTTAAAGCCTCTGCCTTCCGCTCAGGTCATGATCCTAGGGTCCTGGGATCGAGCCCAGCATTGGGCTATCTGCTCAGCAGGGAGCCTGCTTCCTCCTCTCTCTCTGCCTGCTTCTCTGCCTACTTGTGATCTCTGTCGAATAAATAAATAAAATCTTTAAAAAAAATAAAAAAAAAAGAATTGGTCACTTAACTGACTGAGCCACCCAGGCACCTCGTAAGTCTTCTTCTTCTTTTTTTAAATGAGATTAACGATCCCAAGTTCTTATTGATATTTGTAATTCAAATGTAAGATTGCAAAGTTATGTTTTATTTCTTAACTTTTTGTTATTTCCATCCTTTTTCTCTTCTTTGAAAATCTAGGTTCATAATGATATTAACTTTATTACTACTTCTTTTACTTACGTATAACTATAATTATTTTGAAAAAATGATACTACTACTGACTTTAAGTTCTTTTGACCTAGAATATATACCACTAAGGATGTATAGGCAAAATATTGCTTTTAAGTCATTTAAAGTAACTTTTTTTCTTGCGTTGTTCTGCCTTCAACTTGATTTATAGTGAGACTCACTTGTTTTAGTTTTTTTTACTCAGTAAAGATTACCTTTTCCCCTTGATTTATTTATCTTAATTTTATAAAGCTTATATTTTTCCAAAGGAAAAACTATGTGATCAATTCAGAGACCTTTATCTCCCATTCATGCCCATTTGCATTTCTTTTTGAGAACTCTTTATCTGTTACCTCTTTCTAAATATTGAGTTGTTGGTCTTTTCGTCTTCATTTTAAAAACATGTTTATGGATTATGGATATTAACCTTTTGTATTTTAAGTTGCAAATATATTTCAGTAGATTGTCAAACATGTTTTTATGATTTTTTTTGCCATCCAAAGTTTTTTTTAAATGTCATTTTCATAATCTTTTCATTTATTAATTCTGGAATTTGATTTCTCTTTATTCAGGTCTTACCCCACTGCCTGGTTATAAAGAAATTCACTTGGGTTTTCTTTTCCTATTTCTTTTTTTAAATTGAGATATAATTGACATACAACATCATATTAGTTTAGGAGGAATAAAACTGATTACCACATAGTGATTTGATATTTGTATATTGTGTAATGACCACCATAGTAAGTCTAGTTAACGTCTGTCACTGTACATAATTACAAACTTTTTTTCTTGTGATGAGAACTTTTAAGTTCTCTTACCTACTTTTTTTTTTAAGATTTTACTTTTTTTTTTTTTTTTAAAGATTTTATTTGTTTATTTGTCAGAGAGAGTACAGGCAGACAGAGTGGCAGGCAGAGACAGAGGGAGAAGCAGGCTACCTGCAGAGCAAGGATGTGGGACTCGATCCCAGAATGCTGGGATCATGACCTGAGCCGAAGGCAGCCGCTTAACCAACTGAGCCACCCAGGTGCCCCAATTTTACTTATTTTTGCTCAAACACAAGAGAGAACAAGTGTTGGGGGAGAGGGGCTAAGGAAGAAGCAGACTCCCAGGGAGTCTGATTTGGTACTCCATCCCAGGATCCTGGGATCATGATCTGTGCTGAAGGCAGACACTTAACTGACTGAGTCACCCAGGCAACTTCTTAGCAACTTTCCGATACACAGCACAGTATTATTAACTATAGTCATCCTGCTGTATATTACGTCTCCATGACTTATTTATTTTAAACTGGAAGTTGGTACCATTTGACTACTTTCACCTATTTTGCTTACTCACCATCCACCATCTCTGACAACCACCAATTTGTTCTTTTATCTGTGAGTTAATTTTTTAAAAAAAGATTCCACACGTAAGTGAAATCATATGGTATTCGTCTTTCTTTGGCTGATTTATTTCACTTAACATAATGTCCTCAAGGTCCATCCCTATTGTCAAAAATGTCAGGGTTTCCTTTTTTTATGGCTGAATAATATTTGTGTGTGTGTGTGTGTGTGTGTGTGTGTGTGTGTGTGTGATGTTTTCTTTATCCACTCATCCATTGATGGACACTTGGATTGTTTCCTCATGTTGGTGACTGTAAATAATGCTGTAGTGAACTTGGGGTTGCATATATTTTTTTGAGTTACTGTTTTTATTTCCTTTGGATAAATACCCAGAAGTGGAATTGCTGGATCATATGGTAGTCATATTTAATTTTTTGAGGAACCTCCATACTGTTTACTATAATGGCTGTACCAGTTTATGTTCCTACCAACAATGCACAAAGGTTCCTTTTCTCTACATTCTTGTCAATACTTGGTATTTCTTTTTGATAATAGCCATGTTAACAATTGTGAAGTGATATCTCATTTTGGTTTTGACTTGCATTTCCTTGGTGATTAGTGGTGTTGAACATCTTTTCAGTACCTCTTGGTCATCTGTATGTCTTCTTTGGGAAAATGTCTGTTTATATCCTCTGCTCATTTTTTAATTGGCTTTTTTTTTTGCTATTGAGTTGTATGAATTCCTTATATATTTTGGATATTAACCTCTTATCAGGTTTATGATTCTTCTAATACTTCTGTGACTTCAGTTTTTATATTTAGATCTCTATTTGGAATTTGCCATGATATCTAATATAAGGAACAGATCCAGTTTTATTTTTGTCCGTATAGATGATGTCCTATTGCGTTGCCCTCCATA